GGTGAATGTCTGTTAGTGTAAAGCGCTTTGGGGGTCCGGAGGGACTTGAAAAGCGCTCTATAAGTTCAGTACCATTTACCATTTTGACCAGTTTAAGCAGATCTCCTCAGTCCTCCCTCATCTAGAAAGACTCCAATATATTCCCAGACCTGATGTCCAAGGACTATCAAGGACTTTCTAGGTGTACACTCAAATAAAATAAAACAACTGTGTACACACCAGACAATCCATGTGTAACAATGCATAAAGAACCTTTCTTCTGTTCAACCTGATCAAAGTGGAACTGAGCGCACAACACTCCTCCACAGACAAACCTCTATTTAAATATGCAAATAGATACAAACATGTCCTGCACATGAGACTCTGCAGGATGAAGACAAAGTAGCACTTTGACCATGACTCTCAGCTACTTCCACACCAACCTTTAGCTCATTATCTAAACCTGGCTGATTAAAGTCATAAGACCAGTTGCCTGGTGCAGCCATCAGCAGTAGACTCAGTCATAACTTCCTGAAAGTTCATGGTATATTTTGCTGAATCTACAGACAAACATGCAGACACAAACATTGCTCTCTCACCCTAAACCTGACTCCTATTCAGGACTTAGCAGTACTGGTTTATGGAATTTTTGACAAACAGCTACACCTTCATCCTGCCTTCATCAGATGATCTAAGTTTAAAACTCTGGGGTTAAAGGTGTTGACACGCTGTCTCTGGAGGAATGTCTTTAATTAGTAGTTTGTGTGTGTGTTGTGTGTGTGTGGGCGGGGTGTTAAAGGAACAGTAAACAGTTTTTAACAGAACATGTTTCCCTACAGAACGTCGGTGCCATCAACTTCTTCTGTAACTAYGAAGAGAGCAGAGGAAACTACCTGGTGGACGTGGACGGGAACCGCATGCTGGACATCTACACTCAGATCTCCTCCATTCCCATTGGTCAGTAGAGTTAACACATGTTCCAGAGGCTCCTGCTCCTTGGTGGTTTTAGATGTTTACAGTGCATTTCACTGCTAGGCCTTCAGTGGTGTCTGAAGACCAGTATTTATCAAACTTCTTAAGAGAGGTCTAAGTGGTTAAGACGCATGGCCTCTGCTGAAGATTAAAATGATTGGATCGGTTGGCTGTGATGTATGTTGCTGTGAAGGAGGCTAAGCTAAGAAGCTAACCGGAAATCACGTGTGCTGTAAACAACCCTACTGAGAGGAGAGAAGTACTGAGCCAACCAAGACGACTGTAAATGAGAGCTGCTGCTTTGTCAGACAAATTTAT